TATGACCACTCATCTTGAAGCAGCAGAAAGAATCCTCCGATACCTTAAAAGGTTTCCAGGTGCTGGCTTGTTGTTTCAAAGGCACGGACATTTGAAAGTTGAAGTGTATACTTATGCAGATTGGGCAGGATCCCTAAATGACAAAAAGTCAACTAGTGGCTATTGTACCTTCATAGGAGAAAATCTAGTTACCTGGAGAAGCAAAAAGCAAAGTGTGGTACTAGATCCAGTGCTGAAGCTGAATATTGAGCAATGGCTCATGGAGTGGCTGAAATTATGTGGATAAAGAATCTGTTGAGTGAGTTGGATTTTCCAGTGGACAGACCTATGACCCTATTCTGTGATAACAAAGCAGCCATAAACATTGCTGCTAACCCTGTGCTACATGATAGAACTAAACACATCGAAGTCGACAAGCATTTTATCAGAGAGAAAGTTATCACAGGGGAAGTGTGTACTCCCTATGTCAGCTCTGAGGATCAACTTGCAGACATCTTTACAAAAGGACTACACCACTCAAGACATCATGATTTATGTGATCAACTTGCAGACATCTTTACAAAAGGACTACACCACTCAAGACATCATGATTTATGTGATAAGTTGGGCATGATTGACATCTATGTCCCAACTTGAAGGGGAGTGTTAATAGCTGTTATTTTTTCCTATGTATAGTACCGCAAGGGTACTATTGTACTTTTACTCCTTTTTATTTTAGTTGTTGTCGCCCTAGCATATATATTAAAAAGCTGCGCTGCCAGCAGTAACCTTTTTGCTCTTCTTCTCTCTCTTTTCTCTCTTCTTCCATTCTTCTCTCCTGCATAACACACCTCTATATATACCAACTTGACTCACTGACCACACCACTTAATATACAGAATCAGCTTCTGCATAGGCTTGTTTGTGGTCACCTCTACTTCTCAAATTAATCTTCCTAGATTTCTTCACCTTCTCATTACGTCCAACATCAAACAATCCCCCTTTCACCCTGGCAAAAACTTTTGAGGCTTGAATTAGCTCTTTGATTTTGTTGACTTCTGAACCTTCTTACAATGCATAGATGAATCCATGTATAAGACACTCGAGCTAATTCATTCTGCTCAATGCTCCTAAACCACCAAAAAATATCTGTTCTTATTATCCAATAAAAGAAGAAAAGAAGTATGATGCTGTAGATTATGAATGAGTCTATAGGAATTGAATCTTTTTTTTATCAGCAACAGGTATTCTTTTTTTTTTTTATAAGTTTGATCAGCAACAGGTATTGAATCTGTCATCTCAATGATTGTGACTCCCTGACATATAACAGTGGATGATCAAATCCATATCATTTGTGCCACAAGCACAAAGATTTTTTATTACCGCAGGAAGTCTTTGTGGTATTTTTCCTGTTTTCTAAATCATTATTTAACCATAATACCTCAAAATTTTATAACTACTACTGCTGATCTTTATTCTTAATTAGTTAATTTGTTTTTTTAGTTTCTCATTTGGCTAATCAATATTTAAGCCATGAATTTTTCTTTATGCAATCTTGTTATTCTTATTTCTTAATATGCGAGTTTGCATGAAAACATGTGATCAAATAATTAATAATTTTACTCAATATATGTCGATATATTAATTATCAAAAAAAAATATGTCGATATATTCCAATTTCTAAGATTTATATAATGTAAGAAAAATGACAGCCACTTAGGTTACTAATCTTCAATTTGCAGAACAAATAGCTCTCTAGATCCCAGTTTAGAACACAGATATACTATCACCAATGATCTTTAACTAGGCCTAAGACAGGTCCTTCTTGCTTTTAAACTACACCCCGCCTATAAAAAAGGAACAAAATAGATAAACAGAAGCAATGTAATGGTACAGTACCACTAATAACAGCTAGACAGTGATGATACTGTAAGATAACGAAATTCAACTTAATTAAAATGAATAAAGGAATCAGATTTCCCTATCTAGTGGAATATTTATATGAAACTCAGTGACATCTATATAGTTATTACCATGGTTTGGATTAGTAACCGGTGAATCAAATGCACCCGGAGGAAGTGGCTGAAATTCAACACCAAGTGGTGGACCATCTTCCCGATAATGCCTCCCTAGTTGCCTCTTAACAGCAGTAATAGCAGCATTTTCAACCTCATCCTGCACGTTCAAATATCCTGATGACATCATATGCCCCCTGTTCTTGATGCCCTTGGAATTCATCAACAAATAGCTGCCATTCTGAGATGAGTACCTCAAAGATTCCATATCATAGGGATCCTCACTCTGAGCAAACAACCTGTCCTGTGAAGCTGAGCTACTTCCTGAAGATGAATTCTCCATGGCATTATAATTCCCAGTATGAATATATTGACCCCTACTCATGAGAATCATATCTCCACTTGGATATTCTTGGCCATAAAGCCTTCGACTTTCCACCTCCTTAGGATCAAAATGCTTGTATTCCCCTTGCTTGGTGCTGCTACATGAGTCCTGCCTATGTCCACTGCCCCGATCCTGTATAACACCACTAGAAAGATCTTGCCTTGCACTTGCATATGCTTCATCTTTAGATAGCTTTTTGTCCTTCAACCTTCTATGGCAAAACCATCCAGATACCTGCTTTTCCGACAATCCTATCTCCTCTGCAAGCTGTAATTTCATTGACTCTGTGGGGTACTTGTGTTCTGGGTAAAATAAAGTTTTTGGTAAGAGACGCTTCTTACAAGAGTTCAAGTGAACTTAACAGCAAGTCAGAACAGTAAAATATGTTAAAAGGAGCAGCAATACAGCAATACCATTATAAAATTTCTCTAAGGCCTCAACTTGGAATGGTGTCTTTAGCCTCCTTTTCTTGTTCTTCTCAGGAACAGCTTTGTCCTCTTCAGAATGAATATCACAGGATTCTGAAATGTTGACATATGAAAAAATAGCATTAATTTTATTAATGATGACTGTGACAGGTGAAATGGCATTAAGTACCAAGCAATATATTTTACTTCATCACTTGTTAATAACTTATTAGTGATTGTACCTCAAAGGCGTAAATAAGCAATGCACAGGAACAGGAACATGAAGCCTATCTTTAAATTAGGAAATAACATGCATAACAGAAATTGTGACAATAAAATAAAATAAATAGTAGCCAATAGAAGAGCCCACACTTAAATTGGCTTTCTCTGTTAACAAAGGGATTTCAATAGGAGGACGCCAAGTGTTATAGCAGAGATATTAGAAGATTTCTTGTGCCATGACACGGGAGAGTCGCAGCTATGAATGCACAAATGGATAAAAAGAGTCCCTTCTATTTGTTTCCCAGTTCATGATTATCCCTTTATTTATCAGTAACCTTAACTTTATCATCCATGTTTTTTTTATCAGTAACTTTATCATCAATGTTAAGGGACAATGCTTCTTGTGAACTCAATATGAAATTTGGCTAAGAGGAGCATGATTTTGTAAAATTAGAATACTGAAACAGATGTAACACGTAGAACCACTTTCTATTTCAAAGTCCATTGTTAGGTACATACTAGCTGATCTAGAAGAAAAGAAATTACACATATTCCATAAAATAGAGAAATAAAAACCACATTCTTAGTTCCTTCAGAGAAAAAGAGACAGAGAGAGAGAGAGAGGCTTTGACTAAATAACATAGAAAAAATTTCTTCTTCCAATATGGACTGAAACCCCATTTTTAAGTACTACTATCAGACTCATGTTTGGGTTATTGCAGCTTCTTGTTTAATAAGTCACTTCATCGTTTTGTTATTGTTACCGATACTTCAAATTTCAAATTACTAGCCACCACCAACAAAGCACTTTTCTGGATATCTACATTGTCATCAAAACCAATGCCTTTTTGTGATCATTAATAAAATCTTTCATTAAAAAGGGCGTAAAGTGCAATATGAGAGTCATAAGCATAGCAGGTACAGCGCAAAAAATGGTCCATCATTAGACCAAAACCCTGTCTGCCCTGAAGGCTACCAAATAGGAAACATTACAGCCCCCCTATGGCATGGAACTTCCCAAAAACAATTTATTCCTGTTTACTCCTGCTCTGTCTATGTTACCAGACAACTCATTTGCTGTTCTCCTGATCCAAGTGAACAAGAATATTTTTTTTCAATCAGCAAATAAGACTTTTATTAAGATCAGAGAAATATTGAATTACAAGAGTTAGGTTTCAGCACTGCATTGACCCAAGCTGCAAACGCATACAAAGACATACAAACAGTTACAGTTCTGCCCAGAACAAGGTAGATCGATTTGCCCCCTGTTTTGCTAGGGTATCTACAAACCATTTGCAGTCCTTTTAACCCAACCAAACCGAGAGTTGAACCTCCTTGCAAGTATGTCAATTTCCCTATAGATAAATTTGAGCTTCCAAGGTGCTGATGTGAGTTGTTTAGCCCAAGAAATGACCAGTAGTGAGTCTCCTTCAATTTCTAAATCTGTTGCTCCAATCTGCTCAGCCAGCTTTAATCCTTGTAGGAGAGCCAGAGTTTCAGCCTGAATTGAGTCACCAAAACCTATTGGTCTTGAGAAAAGTGCCACAACTTCTCCTTGATGATTTCTAAGCACACCCCCTATACCTTCCCTTCCCGGGTTGCCAAAGGAGCTCCAATCAAAGTTTAGTTTTAGTTTATTTAGTGCAGGTGGCTTCCACTCCACTCTCACAATTTCTTTGGGTACATCTGTTTGTGCCACTTCAGTCCAGTTCCTTAGAATGCCATTCGTGGAGAAGTATTTGAATAGTTTCATGGTCATCACCCAATGTGCAGTTCTGATTTTTATGGCTTCAATAACTTCCTCCTTTTATTTGCTTTTTTCAAAGAAAATTCTTTGGTTTCTTTCCTCCCATATAGTCCATACCACAGCAGCTCTTGCTGCTTTCCATAAACACTTTCTTTTGTTGCCTCAAGAAAGAGGCATTGAAGAAAGCAAATAAAAGGTTTCTTTCCTCTTTCTTTTGTTGCCTCAAGAAAGAGGGGCTAAAGAGACTTACTACATCCTATGGGGGAGCCCATTTGCATCCAAAGAGAGAACAAACAATTTCTCAAATTCAAGAAACAAAAGAGCAGGATAAGAGTAAATGGGGGTAGGGTTTCACCACAAGCCTTACAAAGGACACACACATGAGGAGAGAGGCATTTGTTTGGCCTTCTTTTCTGTAGCACATCACAATGTTTACCTTCCCTAGAAACACCTCCCAACAGAAGACTTGTACTTTAGGAGGGATCGGGTTGCAATAGATTTCTCTCACTGGGAAGTTTACCCCCAAAAATTCAGAATGAGTGAGCAGACTGAAGAAAGGTATTTTGGGGACCAAATTCTACTATCAGTTGTATTTTGGTCTAAGTGGACATTCTCTAAGGTTGCAATCAAGATCAATAGGGAAGCACATTCATTTTCCCTTAGACTCCTTCTGAAGCCAAAGTCCCAAGAGAGGCCCAAGTCGGAAAGCACGCCAACCCTAGCAACAAGTTCATTTTTGAGGTTTGACAAGGAGTAGAGGTCAAGGAATTAAACACTAAAGGGCAAATCCCCTACCCATAGGTCTTCCCAGAATAACACTTTATTGCCACACCACACCCAACATCAAAGTAGATAAAGTTAAGAAAGGTTGGCAGTACCTCAAAGATTGCCTTCTAGGGGGAGTTTGGAGCTGCATTGGAGGCTAGTTTTGCATCCCAGCCGTTTTCTACTTCACCACGAATGCTTTTAATGACCCTATGCCACAACCTATCTTCTTCACAAGGGAATCTCCACAGCCATTTCCTAGGAGGGGCATATTCTTCTTTAAAATGTTCCTTATACCTAGGCCACCTTGCTCCTTAGGTTTGCAGACTTGTTCCCACTTCACTAACTGATCCCTCTTTTCATCACCGGGTTCCCACAAAAATCCCTTATTATCTTTTCCAACTTCCTAGCTATTTTCATCAGGATCCTAAAGGTGGAGAGGACATAAGTGGGCAAATTTGCTAGGGTGGATTTTATCAAGGTTATTCTTCCCCACAAGGAAATATAACTTCTCTTCCACATTGCCAACTTCTTAGTGGATCTCTCTAAAACTGGTTTCCAGAAGCTTTCAGCTTTCGGGTTCCCCCCCAAGGGCATACCTAGGTATTCTAGAGGCCAGCTTTTCACTTCACAGCCTAGTAAATCTTCCATGGCTTAGATGTCACCCTCTTCTAAGGTTATTCCAGCTACACAAGTTTTTCCCCAATTCATTTTTAGTTTTGAGGCCTGCTGAAACTTACCCACCAAAATTTTCAGATTCCTCAAACTAGGTTCATCACAACTCTCACAGAAAATGATAGTATCATCTGCAAATTGCAAGTGAGACACCACTACCGCTGATCTACCAATCCTCTAACCTTTAAACTGATTTTCTTGGTCAGCCTTAATGATTTGTCTACTCAAAACCTAAGAAACAAAGGTAAACAAGAAGGGGGATAAGGGGTCACCTTGTCTCAGTCCTCTTTTAGCCAGGAAGTGCTACCCCATTTAAAAGAACAGAAAAATGTGCTGAGCTAAATACATCCTTTTATCCACAGTCTCCATCTTTCACCTAGACCCATCTTTTCCATGAGATTCAACAAGAAAGACCAACCCACCATACCGTAGGCTTTCTCTAGGTCCAATTTACAAATCAAGCCTTTGCCACCTTGTTTTTTCTTCGCTGTCACACATTCATTTGCCACTAAGATTTGATCCACTATTTGTCTCCTTTCTACAAAAGCTCCTTGATTTTGAAAAATGACGAAGGGCAAGACAGTGTTCAGCCGACCAGCCAAAACTTTTGCATTGATCTTATACATACTACCCACAAGACTTATCGGTTTGTAGTCCTTAGGGGTTTTGGCCTCTTTCTTTTTAGGCACTAGAGCAAGAAAAGTTGCATTTACTTCTAAAGAGATTTCCCCTTTTTTTATGGAACCCAACAAAGACATCCATTTAAATCATCTTTTAAGATTTCCCAGCAATCTTGATAGAAAGCCATTGAGAAACCATCTAGCCTTGGAGATTTAGATCTATCCATCGAGAAAACTGCTTCATGGACCTCCTCTACACTAAAAACTCTTTCTAAGAGGGTGGCTTTGGATTCCGGCACTCTATCCCAATGTAATTCTCCCAATTCCAAATTGCTTTCAACTGAGGAGGCAAGGATTGACTTGAAATGATCCACAAAGCACCTTTCAGTTTCCTCCTTGGAGATTATTACTCTTCCCTCCACCTCAATGCTAGAGATTTGATATTTTTCTTCTCCCATTTGCTAGTGAGTGGAAAAATTTGATGTTTCCATCCCCAAAAGCCATTTACACCTTGATTTTTGTCTCCAAGAAATTTCTTCCTTCCTCAGGATCTCCTCTAGTTGCACTTTTAAGTTCCATCTTTCTGATCTATCCTTAGACCCTCACTCTTTATAGGCTTCCTTTAGGTTCAATTCCTCTATTTTCCTAGCTAATTCTTCCTTTATGACCTCGAGTTTTCCAAATTCTTCTCTGTTCCACTCCTTAACCTTTTCCTTTAATCTTTTCAACTTCTTTGTGAATCTCACCCCTTTTTCTCTAGCCCATATTCCACCTTCTAACCACCAATCTTTTACCTTTTGCAAAAAGTTTGGGACTTCCAGCCACATATTCTCAAATCTAAAGGGTGTAGGGCCTCCAATAAGGTTTCCTTGGTAAAGACTTAGGGGGCAGTGGTTCGAGGTTACTCTAGGAAGGGCTTTCAGTGTTAAGTTTCCCCACAATCCCTCCCAATCAATGGAGAAGAGGAACTTGTCCAACTTTGAGCACACTTGACTTTCCTGAAGATTTGACCAGGTGAAAGAGGCTTGTGACAAGGTGGGTTCTCTTAGTTATAGGGACTCAATCAAGGAGTTGAACTGTCTCATACTTGTTGTTATAGACCGGTTAGGGTTGTTTGTCTCATTTGTGTACCTTATCACATTGAAAAATCCTCCAACCACCATGGTCCCTCCCAAAGGCCCCTAACTGTGGCTAGCTCTTCCCATAAGGTATCACTTTCTCTATATGAGTTAGGGCCATACACATTGGTCAGCACCCAGTGCCTCTCATCATTCATCCTCTTGATTATTGACACTGAGTATTGTCCTATCAACTCCTCCTGACAATCTACTTCCTCGTTCTTCCAAATTGTAAGGATACCACCCGAAGCGCCCCAAGATGGGGCAAAAGACCAGATGGCTTCCCATCCATATATTCATAATTGAGGTCTCGCAATTCAACACTTATCAAACTTAAGAAACATAATATTCACACTTCAATAACAGAACCAAACCTTCAAGTTGAAAATATTGATTATTTCACTAGATAATACCATAGACACCATCCATCAATGACTCCGATAGGTCCAATGTAGGCAGATCCTCGTCTGAAAGTAATAAAAAATAATGGCCCCTACGGTCCAATGTAGGCAGATCATTGTAGCCACTGGACAGCTTTCTATTAAAGATGTTTCCTTTCCTTCCATAGGTTCCAACAGATTGAGAAAGACATTAGGTTCCACAAGATAATCTCATCTTAGGACTTGGTAGACAAGATGACACCAAAGCTGCAAAGTCTTCTATGATAATCCATTTAGAAAAAACTGCTGGAAAATGGGTCCAGACCTCATTGATGGGAAATTGCTCATCTAGTGCTACTGACTGCAGGGGAGGTAATTGCTACATTATATAAAACTAAAACAATTGATAAAGCTATAACATAGTAATAACATAAGGCAATAGACATATGATGCAAATCACCAACAGCTCCAGTGTTCTACCAGCCTCTCTACTACTTTCTTTTTTTGATAATTCATCCTCCCTACTACTTTGTGCATGTATCATTATCATCGTTTGCCTTATCCACCTAAAAATGGTCAACAACACAAATTGTCTCCCTCCATTTGCACTATTTAAGGTCATACATTCCATTAAAGAACAAACCAACAAATCTTTTCTCACTACTTGAAGTAAAGTTCTTTTTGTCCCTCCCCTTGTCCTTTTAGAATCTTTGACTGGACACTGGAACCAAAATCATTCCTCCTCGATATTATATTCCAAGTATTGCTATACAGCCATCATAGTCTACTTTCGCCTTATTCTGTAACTGGTACTACCACTACATTATAGCCAACTTCTCCTGCCTCTAATACTTGTCTATCTCAACATCCTCATTTAGGCTATACCATTAACTGGATGTCTTATTTCTTTATTTTCTTTTCTTCTTTTTTTTTTCAGACAGGGGGTTCAATAACAGAAGGTTTGTTGCCAAGGCAAACGAAATGGAGTAAAATCATCAATTCTTCTCAAAAAGGAAAAGACAAGACAAAGAAGTTTAAATGATAGGAGATGAGATTGAAAATAGTAATAGCAAATTCGAAAAAGAGAACGGCACTAGTTTAGTTATGTTTTCTTCCTCAATATAACAATTAACAACGTTAGTTATATCAAAAATGCTTTCTAATCAAATTGTAATAAGTTACCAATAATCATAAGTTTTTCAAGTAACTGAAACTCCCATGCTAGAAAATTTACATATGGCTTATATGTTGGGGAAAACCTCTGAATCTTCAGAAGTCACAAACTCATTTCAACAAAAAATGACGAGTTATCATGTAAGTTTCCATTCAGCTACATGTGTACAAGCATAAAACAAACACCATTCCCCACACTGAAAAAAGACTGCACTGATAAAAACAAGATAGCTTTTCTATCATACAAATGATGGGTCCTTTTGTAAATGAAACTAAGAATATTCATTATTTTCTTAGAAAAGTCATAGTAAAACCACCATAAACCCTAAGAAATACTCCACGCAACAGAAAACATAACTTCCCTTTACACATTTTAAACACAAAAAGTCAGAACGGGATCTTATGTGCTAATCCTGAAACAATTCGCCCATTCTTATCATCAAACCAACCCACAAATCAACCAAAAAAGGAACAAAAAAGTCGGAAATAAATGCTACCCAAAACATAATATGATTCCAAACGAAAGCATGACGAGCCAGACATTCCAAGTCTCCAATTACATACGTCAAAGCAGAGATTAAACAGAAAAGAGACATAATGCCAGAACTAAAATTCTTCGCAGTCATTCACAGGGAAAAAAAAAAAAAAAAAACTAAATAAAAAAGGGGATCGCTGATTCTGAAGATTGTAAACAAAAATACCTCCCATTTGGGAAATCTTCTAGGGTTCCCTCCTCCTTCCTGTTCTCTGGGGATCTGTATTCCTTTCTCTCCTCCAACAAGCAAACGCCAGTAGACCAAGATTGAAGAAGATAAGAATGCAATAACCGATGCCAAAGATCTCAGGCGTTACATCTTAACTCTTAAAAGAAAAAACAATGCGGAGAGAGAGAGAGAGAGAGAAGAGAGGGAAAGAGAGAGAGAGAGAGAGAGAGAGAGAGATTAACAAAATGAGAAAACTGGGAAATCCTTTCTTGTTGCCATTTACTTCCCTCCTTCCTCCTTTGCATCATTCTCATTTGTTTTTTATTTTTTTTTCAGTTGATTAATCATTAATTCTTCTGCTTGTCCATTTTGTTCTTGTTGTTAGAGGAAGTTATTGGGGGCTTATCGCCCTTTGAAGTTTAAACCCACCCACGGACCTACCCGGCTACCCATCAAAATAAAAAAACAAACCCACCTATAGGATTAGGGCCCACCACTTTCTTTAGGGACCTTCTGATCTGATGACAGTGAAAGAAGACCACACGGCAATGATGATATGATCTTCTTCTTCATGTAGTGCCCTTATATGGTCCTGGTATGATCGACCATCTCTTATAAGGAAGCTATGGGCTTATGGCCCTTTAAACCCACCTATAAGATTAGGACCCACCACTTTGTTAAAGACCTTTTTGATCTGATGACATTGAAAGAAGATCAGAAGGCAATGAAGATAGGGTCTTATCAACTTCTTCATGTAGAGCCCTTATATGGTCCTGATCTGAACTATATATTATGGTGACTTGTGAGGAAGTTATGGTGGGCTTATGACCCTTTAAACCCACCTATTAACCTATAGACCTGCCCATCAAAAAAAAAAAAGTAAACCCACCACTTTCTTTAGGACCTTTTGATCTGATGGCATTGAAAGATCAGACGGCAATGACGTAGGGTCTATCATCTTCTTCATGTAGAGCCCTTAGGCCTATACAAATGGTTAAATGATCCAAGTCAACGTAAGAGTCGAGAGATATCTTAGTGTAGGAAATTGAAAATTTCCTTTATTAGAAATTAGATTTTTGTTTGAATGATCTAAGACAATCAAAAGGTTCCATATTAATGGCTTATTTCTTTATTTTTTTCATTCTTTTGAGTGAATAATTTGATTCCATTGGAGTTTTCATTTTTTTTTGTCTAGGGTTCTTAGATTTTTTTCTTTTTGTCTAGCGTTGATGTAGGATTTCATGTAAAATGTTACTATTTTATGGATGGGCTACATTTACAAAGAATCAATGCATGCATCATCCATGATCCACCCATGCATATCAAACCGTTGATTTGAAATATTGACATTAATTTTGTTAAAATTAACAAATCACATGGGACCCATTGCAATTAGTGGACCGTTTTTCCAAACCATATGGGACCCACATGCATTAGATAGGGGTAGTATTGACAATTTTGATATCCAGATGGGAGGGAAAGGTTAAAAGGTTTTCCAAATGGGCTGCTCACAAATTTGGCTAAAATCTTTCCGGTTGGTGGTGGCTTTTGGAATGCTGCTGGTAAGGTCTTTTAATGCAAAGAGTAAAGAGTTGAGATGGAAACCCACCACATTCACCCTAGAGCATGCATCGGCAAGAATTAAGGCCTCTTTTAGACTGTCAACAACTGCTTTTATTATCTCTTTATTGGCCAAGTCTCCCACCACCACCACCATTACAAGGACAACCTCACCAATCAAAACACCTTTATAAAATTTGATGAACACCATGGATTGGTCAACTCCTTTATGATTGACTGTAATTTTCTGTCATCTTAGTCGAATCCTATTTTAAATTGATGATTGGTATCATTGTTCTATTTTAAATTAATGTTTTTAAAATCGGACCGGACTGAATGATTAGACCAGAAAAACCAGGAACTGATCATATGATCGGTTCTATTTTACCCCAAAACTATTATTTGGCCAAAAACATTGATTTGATCTACAAATCATTAATTTGGGCGGTCAAACTGTTGAATCGTTTTATCTAGGAACAGTTTTTGGCCATTTTTTTGGTTTTATTTATTTATTTATTTATGTTGTCAGAACAGGCCATCCATTTGGACTGGGCAGTCGAACCATTCAACTTAGAAACTGAACCCCAGAACAGTTCTGTCCAGTCCGATTTTAAGAAACTTGATTTTAAACATGATAGATTGATTAATGCAAATTTATGAGAGAGATTTTTATTTCTACATAAAATGTTTTGTCAATCAATACAAAAGTGTTGTTTTACATGAAAGATCAATTTCACATTTCAAGTATAAATGTCAATGATCCCAAACATATATTTTTCTAGCTAAAGTGATTCACAATTGTTCTAACCCCAAACTTTACTCTGGATGAAGGGGCAGTCACCTTAAAATTTTATTACCCATTATTAAATGGAAGAAGAAAGATTGCCGCAAGCCCTAGATCAGCGTTTTATTGCTTTGGTGTAACTCCAATTGTAAACATGTCTGTACCTTTTTCAATACCTGTATTAGCAAGATTATCAGCAGGTATATTAGCCTCTCTCTGTAAACTTGAACAAACCTGATATTAAGGGTATTACAGAAAGATAATCTGTTGGACATGTGATTGACAATACATATTTCTCACCAATTTGAATTAATCAATTAATCAACCCAAAAGGTTTCACGTAGAAACATCAATAATTGTATCAATTACCAAATACAGCCTCAATTAGTGTGTTCATTTTAGGGGGCTTTAGCTATTCAGAATGATTTTACTTTTCAAAATAAAACAAGGGTAATTTGAATTCAGTACACCTCAGAATTCATAATGCAATCAAATAGTTCGGGTTAGTGCCAATGGGGGAAAGATTCCCAATTCACAGGGATATTGTTTATAGGGGTGGATTCGAGCCGAGCCGAGTCGAATAGTATGAGGCTCGAGCTCAGTTCACCAAGGTAGTATAAGGCTCGAGTTCGGTTCGAGCCAGAACCTTGAGCTCGAGCTCGGCTTGAGTCAAAACTCGTAAGCTCGAGCTCAATTTGAGAAAAAATATATCTATTTGATATTTAAAAAATTAAGAATTATAATATTTTTATTATATATATATATATATATATATATATATATATATATAT